ATAACCTAGATACGTGCCTAACGTGGTGTGGATACTATTATATACTAGTATACAAGCGTAGTGCTCTAAATAGACTTTTTAAGGTAATTAAGGGCTAGGGTAGTAGTAGGGATAATATATTCCTAAATTTCTGCCTAGTCTAGCCCCCCTAGGCAGAGCTAAAATTTTGTGTGCTTAAGGTATAGGTTAGTCTAGCGTAGTAGGGCTAGTAGGATAATAGTAGTAGCTATTGCCTCTTCTATATCTGCCTAAGTTTATATAGCCTCTAGCTATACCTTTAAGTTATTAATTCTATTATATTATATTAGTTTAGTAGGCAGGGTTATAGGTCTAAAGTCTAGAGCAAGTAGAGCTAGGTTAATTAGTGTATAGAGCGTAGGCTCTAGGGTTAGGATTATAGTAGGGGTGACTAGGTTGTACACCTTAAAATGCTTAGTAGCTTAGGTAGGCAGGCTGTGTCTCTAGAATATTTATTAGGTAGTAATAATAGTCTAGTAGGTAGCCTATATTTTCCTAGCTAGAGTCCTAATATTAGATATAAAGACACTATAGGAGCATAGATAGGTTTTTATATTTCCCTCTACACTCTACTCTATTATAATATAGCTGCAATTATTATATTTAAGGGAATTATAATAAAGTTAGAGGGACTTAATAATAGTATATAGCTAAGGAGGTAGCAGGATATTAGTAATATCTTTATAAAGATTGTCTATCTAGCTATTAATAAATTCCTAAAGCATTTCGCGCTTAAGGTAATCTATGTAATTAGCATGCTTGCTAGAAAAGTGCTAAAAGACATAAGATAGGATAAGGCAATAACAATAATATTTGCATACTATAATCCTAAATCCTAGTTTAGGATAAATAGTAATATAATTAGTAATGCTTATAATAGAGGAAGAGATAGAAGCTAATAGGTAGTAGTATACAAGTAAGGTGAAAAGATTTTAAAAAGGAGGGTGAAGATAGGACACTACTTATTTTAACTAAGAATTAGACCCTAAATTGCTATAAAATATCTAACTTGGCTAATCTAACTATTTTAGCGTTAGGGCAGTAGTAGAACACTTGCACCTTGTAACTTTAAACCTTTCTCCTTCCTTACACACTATAACCTTCTACTTAGCACACAACACTATACTCTCTTTGCAATAAGCAAACTACTATTTATACTAGTTAACCTATTAAATAATATTAAGTAGGTAAACGCAATCTTAGGCGTGGATAGTATACTATTGCGTGCTAGTCTAGTTATATATAGCTAGGTTGCTAATAATTTTAATCCTACTAAGGCTTTAATTGCTAGAGATCTATACTGCGCCTTAGTTTAGATATATTGTAATATAAACTACTAGAAGTTAATTAAGGCAATTAATAATATCTATAACAACCTAGTAACTAAAGCTAAAGAAAGAGATAGCAATAGTTAAGGCACATAGGGTTATAGCTAGTTAGTTATTCTAGCAATAGTACCTAAGGAGAGCAAGGTAGCAAATACAGGTAGGCGCAAAAGGAAACGTGGCACAAAAGAAAAAAGTATAAAGCAAGTAAATAAGGCCCTAGTTAAAAAGATAAACCTTGTATTAGTCTAAACTATTGCTAGTAAACAGGATTAGGAGTCTATAAAGGTGGAGGTAACCCTTATAAATAAGTAGCAACGTTATTAGAATTTTGCAAGGAGCCTCCTAGGTATAGGGGTTAATATTATGGCCTAGATAATATTAAATGTAGAGGTAGTTAGGTCTAGAGAGGCCTTTCTAGATTAGCAGGCAATTATTATTAGGTGGAAGAGGTAGTATTATAAGGCAAAGAAGTAGTTTAAATAAGTAATAATAGCCTACACAACCCTAGTAGCGCACGTATTCTAGATAGATAATTTAGGTCCTAATCTAATAAACTTATAACTTATCTGCTCTTAGTAGGAGGGATATAATGTAGTAGATAAAATAGGGCTTACTATGCTATAGCGGGAGACGTTCTAGTACTAACTTATAGACGCATAAAAGAGCAGGATTAAGAGCTTTGTAGAGGAGATATAGCAAAGATAGAAGCTAGATATCCTCTATAATAAATATCTTTCTCTTAAGAAGATAATTCGCAGCATAGCCTATAGTATAGGTGCAAGGGGTGTAGAATATAGATCTATAGCAAAGGACTACCTCTTTAAGGTTACATGCGTATCTAATAATAGTTATATACCTAATAAGAGAGATAACCTAGAACTATACAAGCTATTTAGGGGTTTACTAGATTAGGGTAAGAAGTAGAATACTATAAAGAAATACTTTAGTATAGTTAGGATCTTTAGGCTTCTTCTAAAGAGTATTAGAGTAAACGTCTAGTTTAAATAGGTAACCTAGATACAAGTTACGCAGTAGTTAGAGATAGTAGTAGAGTATAATAAGGATATAATATCCCTAGCGTAATATATTAAGCTACTTTTTATAGTATTTATTAAGGAGCGTCTACTACTATAAGAGTTTCTCTTCTTAGAGTAGGTTAATTAGTATCTAGGGGAGTAACTACTACTAATGCTTAATAGGTATATATATATTAAGATAATTTACTCTAAAGCTAATAGTTATATAGTTACTAGGGCACCCCCCCTGTAATAAGGAGAGTAGAGGAGGTGCAAGTTAACGAAGACAAGGCCCTTAAATTAACTATTAAGGGGGCGTTTAGGGCTAAGACTGCCTTAGAGATAGGCACTATGTATAGTAGTATTACTATCCTATAGTTAAGTATATAGATAGTAGTTGTTATTAATATATATAATTAGTTATGTAAGTGCAGGTATAGTAAGGTGTAGGAGGGGGACGTTTTAGCGAGGGCAATAGGGTGTATTTATAACGCAGCTACTAACCCTATTACCCTTAAGTAAACCCTCTGTCTATATTAAGACCTCTGCATTACTCTATTAGTAATAGAAATAATTTTAATAAATGCTGCACCCTTAAATAATAGTCCGTGCAAGAAGAATTCTTTACTAAAGGTAGGACTTTTATAAGGAAATAGGTAGTAGGGGTTGCAGGAGACGGGTTTTAGGTCTAGGTTTACAGGAAACGGGTTTTAGGTAGTAGGGGTCGCAGGAAATAGGTTTTAGGCAGGGGTTACAGGAAACAGGTTTTAGGTCTAGGTTTGCAGGAAACAGGTTTTAGGTGGTAGGGGTCGCAGGAAACAGGTTTTAGGTCTAGGTTTGCAGGAAACGGGTTTTAGGTCTAGGTTTGCAGGAAACAGGTTTTAGGTCTAGGTTTGCAGGAAACGGGTTTTAGGTCTAGGTTTGCAGGAAATAGGTTTTAGGTCTAGGTTTGCAGGAAATAGGTTTTAGGCAGGGGTCGCAGGAAACGGGTTTTAGGTGGTAGGGGTCGCAGGAAACAGGTTTTAGGTTTTGATTTTCCTCGCACGGTTATTTCCTGCAAGACGCTAGTAGCGCACAGTCCTCTTTAGAGTCGTTTCCTAGCAGGAAACGACTTTCCTATAATATATAGCGTACTTTTGCTATCTAGCGTCCTTTTACTAGTTTTAGTGGCAAAGTTTGTTTAAAAGTTTTAATGTTCCTCGCCAAGCTAGCTTTTGCTATCTAGCGTCCTAACGCACAAGCCAATTTTTTGGTACTTTAACAGCAAAAGTTCGCAAACCAATATCCTTAGCTTAGTATAACCTAGGCGAATATGATTTGCTAGTTTAGTGCTTTATATCTTGCTTTAGAGCTTACTATCTAGACTTAAGGTTTATTTTCTATCCTTTTACTTTTACTATCTAGTCTTAGAGCTTATTCTCTAGCTCTAGTGCTTACTATCTTGCCCTAGGTCCTATTCCCTAGGCTTAGTGCTTAATATCTTGCTCTAGAGCTTACTATCTAGACTTAAGGTTTATTTTCTATCCTTTTACTTTTACTATCTAGTCTTAGAGCTTATTCTCTAGCTCTAGTGCTTACTATCTTGCCCTAGGTCCTAGTCCCTAGGCTTAGTGCTTAATATCTTGCTCAAGAGCTTACTATCTAGACTTAACAGGTTATTTTCTATCCTTTTCCTTTTACTATCTAGTCTTAGAGTTTATGTCTTGTATTTAGTACTTAATATCCTATTGTAAATAATAGTATCTAGACTTAATATTTGTATTCTATCCTACTACCTTTACTATATATTTAAGCCCACTAATAAAACTATACAAATTAGGATATAGTATTTACACTAGAAGAAAACTAGTAGGAGCCTTACTTTGCTTACTAAGACTTTGGCTTGGCCCTTACCTCCTAGGTTTTACTATATCCTAGCTATAATTATATCCTTTCTTCCTACCTAAGTATAGTATGTCTAGTTTCTTTGTTAATAGTATATATACTAGTAGGCCATTTCTAGTTAAATTTAGCTATATAATAGCGTAGTAGCTAAAATACTACGTACTATTAGTAATTAAGTGTAAATATTTAGTAGAGTTATGCAATTACAAAATTAGAATAGTTACACTATACAAAAAATAGTAGTTATAAAACAACACGTTACTATAGTTCTATATGTGTATCGTAAAGATCTAAGTATTGTTACCCCTAGCCCTGGTACTACATCATGCCTATCTACGCTATCCAGTTAATCTAACTCCTTTTTGCCCTACGCTTGGTGTAACTTTTGTATCCTAATTCTGTACTGTAGCTGCAATCTAATAATTTATCTTCTAATTTATTCCAAAGCTTATTTATGCTTAACTCTATACCTATAACTAACATATCCCCTTAGCTATATATATATATTTCTCTATCCATACTAGCGTAGATAAATGCCTAGATAGTCGAGAGCAGGATATGCGTGCTTACGTGATGTCAGGCGTTTGCGAATTCCCAAAGCCTGTGTAAATAGTGCGTGTGGTTAGGTTTTTGTTTAAGTTTGCTAGTTGGAAGGACGCTCGGCCAAGACACGTTGCAGTATTGCGGCAATGGTTTACAAGTTCATCACCTTGCTTCTCCAAAGAGCCTGTTAAGAGGGACAAGCAACGACAGAATGGGCGCAGAAGCGGGAGCCGGAGGCGTTGCACCGGTCATGGAGATGGGCAAGTCCACCTTGTTAGCATACTCGCCCTCTGCCCATGCCCTCAGATTGATGGAGCATCTGCTGATGCTGCTGCTGACGCAGAAAGGCTTGTTGCTGGGCGGTCCGCTGCCGATCTTGAAAAGTGGCAGTTGTGAACAAATCCTAAGAAAGTTTTAGCCAAGCTCGTTGCAGGGCTTGATCGGTAAACGTCTTGAAAAGTGGCAGTTGTGAACGAATCCTAAGAAGGTTTTGGCCCAGCTCGTTGCAGGGCTTGATCGGTAAACGTCTTGAAAAGTGGCAGTTGTGAACGAATCCTAAGAAGGTTTTGGCCTAGCTCGTTGCAGGGCTTGATCGGTAAACGTCTTGAAAAGTGGCAGTTGTGAACGAATCCTAAGCAGGTTTTGGCCCAGATGGTTGCAGGGCTTGATCGGTGATTGTTAGATAACTTGACAAAGCTATTGTTCTTAATCTCTATATAAAGATATTGTCTATCTTAAGCAAAATCATCTTTTATCAACTACCTTTGTCTTCTATCTAAGCAACGATCATATCTAACACTTTCAAAATGCAAATCTCATTTCTAACACTGGTACCATTTCTAGCATCTGGGCTAGCAAATGTCGCACTTGCTGAAATCTGCTGCGCCTATGGTGCCACAGTATGTTAAGAGAATACAATCTTTGTGTTCATATACTTACACCACTCTTAGTCACCAGTAGGTGATGTTAGTCGTTCAGTGGGGTTTAAGCAGTCTCTTGCCAGAGGCCGTATGTTACCCTAAATTATTCCTCTCGTTAAATAATGAAACTAATTATATCTTAGCTCTCGAAACTGGCACAATTGAGTTCCCCACTGCTCCGTACAGCTGCAAAATTACGGTTGATCGCGGCGCCAATCTCCCCTGCAAGCAGTGGCGATATGTAAAAAGTTCTGGAAACTGCCTTGTTCAGGCTCTTAACTTCGACACTGAATCGACTCCTTTCAGTTGCACAAGCCAGTAGAATCCCTGGGTTAGTAGAGTTTACTAGAGTCTCTTCTTTGGTTTCTAACAAGTGTTTTAGTAAACCTATCTTCTAGAATTTTGCTTACTATTACACTCTTTCACTTCTACTCAATATGTAATTAGGGATTTTATAGTTTTTCAACAAAACTATTTTTTAGAGTGAGAATATACAATTATACACACTTTACTAATTTCATGCTTGTGAGACGTAGTGCCGCATTTGCTCGCTCGCCGTTAGCTTTAGCATCCCAAACCCTAAAAATATAGTAGTGCCTTGTATAGATACGATACTATATCTGGTTCTTGTATTATATACTTAAAGAGTTCGCATAAGAACCTTTTCTTATTATTTCTATAGATTAGTAGGCTAGTAAATATGTGCTAGTTAGTAGCGAGAGTTAATAGTAACCATATTCTAAAATAATACCTAATTAGAAGTACTATATTAAGAGAAGAAATTACAATATTCTAAAATATATTTTTATACTGCTAGGTAGTGAATATTAGGGGATTAAAAAGGTACGTATTATCTTAATAAAACGCGAATTATCTAATGCCTTTATTATAAAAACTCTAAGCCTACGCTATGTAGCTATATAGCTACGAAATTGTATTATTGTAGGTAGTTAGGAGTATCTAAAAGGGATCTAATATAACTTGAAGGTAGATAGGAGTACGCGGCTATATAGAAATGAATAAATGCCTATACCTACAGGTCTTATATAAAAGGACAAGAAGAACTTGTCTATCTATCTATAAGTATACGGCTCCTGTTATATCTAGAGATAGAGGGGTCTTAGAGCTATATTAGAGATATATTAAGGTTAATACTATCTTAGCTTATGTAATAAGAACTGCAATAAGTGCTTATACTTATTATTCTATCCCTATCCTTAAGAATTAGATAGTCCTATATCTATTATCTCTATATCGCTAATAAATCCTAACTATTTTGAGTTTTATTAGTTTTGCAAAGAACCATAACTTTTAATAATTGTTTGGTCTATATTTCTAAAGCTATTGGTTTACGAACTTTTGCTATTAAAGTACCAAAAAATTAGCTTGTGCGTTAGGACGCTAGATAGCAAACGCTAACTTAGTAAGAAGTATTAAAAGTTTTAAATAAACTTTGCTATTAAAACTAGCAAAAGTACGGTAGATAGCAAAATTAGGCTAGATAGCAAAATTAGGCTAGATAGCAAAATTAGGCTAGATAGCAAAATTAGGCTAGATAGCAAAACCTAGCTTAGCTAGCAATACTAAAACCTAGATATAAATATAGTTATTAAAACTAGGGAAAGCTATATATTAGCTATTAATACTATAGTTTCCTATACTTATAGTAAGTTAGTAAAGTCTATTTAATCCTATAAGTAGCTAGAAATTATAAAAGAGGTGCAACGTCGTAGATATATAAATACTATATTAGTATTAATAGGGGACTATAGTAGTATAGTAAGTGCTAGTAACTCTAATAGGTAAAGCTAGTAATTTTAGGGATTCTCTAGAATTTTTAGCCTATACTGCGCCTAAAATACTAGATATTAGAGGACTAATAACATACTAGGTATTTCTACGCTCTAAGGTAACCTAGAATAGACTAGTTAGCTATAGAGTATTTACTAAATCTACTATTATATTAGGTAAACTAGTGTTATAGACTAGCCTTAAGGGAGAATGCAATAAGCGTTATTAATAGTATTTAGTATCTTAAAGAAGAGGTAAGCCCTCTACGCCTTTTTATAGGTGCGTAGCGGGTTTGCTTAGTAGTAGTATTAGCCTCTATCTATCTTATATTAGACCTAGGCTTAGGCGTAAGCCTAAGCCCTTTATATACTCCTAACCTTTCCCTAGAGTTATTGTAAAAATATCTTCTTAAGGGTCTAGGGCTATATCTTTATCTTATCCTAATCTATGTTAGCTTTATTACTATATATTTATATTTTATTATTATATCTTTATATTCTTTCCTAATCTATAACAGGCCTATATATTAAGTATTACGCGCGCGTAGCGTCTATACACTTATTTTAGTACCCTACTATAAAGGTTCTAATATAGCTATCCTACCCTACTATAAATTTCTTAAACTTAATTTATTATATAGTAGATTTTCCCTACTAATTAGTCTTTTCTCTACTCTTTTTCTATTAATCTAGCCTATATAGCCTCTATTATATCCCTATCTACTACTACTAGTGCTAGTAGTAGGGAACTACTATAAGGTAGTTAGACCCTACGCTAGGCCTACTAAGATAAGGTGCGTACTTCTTATATTATCCTAATATTTCCTACACTAACCTTTTACTTAGTATATATCTCCTTAAACCTAGTTACTTAGTAGCTTTATGTGGAAATCTAGATTACTAAGGTTAGGAATAATTTAGGAGATAGATTATTAGATTATCTCTACTACGATCGGACTTATATATATAGATCTTTAGCTACCCTTACTAGAAGATGTGTGATTAGTAAACCTTCCTTACTAGAGCTCCTTCTTTTATTAGGCACTTAGCACTAAGCTAGCAGTTAATTAGATAGTAGGTTATATATAGGTATTGTAACAATAAGGTAGAATTACCTGCCTATTATTCTATGCTAAGTTAGGCCTAATAAAGGCCCGACTCACTAATGTATATAGAGAACAGCTCGCCTATAGTTAGGATAGGTATGTTCTTCTTGTCCTTTTGTACAAGACCTATAGGTGTAGGAATCTTATCCTTTTCTATATAGACGCGCACTCCTATATGCCTTTAAGTTATATAGGATACCTTTTAGATGCCCTACCTACCTAAGTTATTATATTATAAGAAGAATATTATCCTAGCTAGTGATAGCATTTAAGAATATTGCATTTATTATTATTTTAAGCTACTAATTTAGTTCTAGTAGCTATCTAACCCTGCAACTCTATAGTTAGAATAGCTATTAGAACTTCTAATAACTAAAGCCTATAGGCTTAGACTTCTAGACCTATAGGTAGTGCTAGATTACCTTTAGAAAAATCGCGTTAGACTGCGTTAAGGTAGAGACCTAGAGACTACTAAAAGCCTAGAGGAATTAGAGGCAAAGCTAATATCCTTCTATAACTAAACCCCCCTAAAAGAAAAAGAAAACATTTGTTATTCTTATTAACTACAAAATGTTAAACAAAGGTAAAGGAAGGGTATCTAGTTTAGCTGCTTTTAAAAGCCTATTTACTAATAGAAAGAAATTAGATAAGGGAGACTTAATTAACAACGCCCTCCTAGAAGGACCTGCTTCCTATCTATCTCTTAAGGTACCTTGTGCTCCTAGGAAATCTTAAAGTAATACCTCTCTTAAAGATAAATATATATTAACTCTATCTAAAAAGGAGAGGTTAGAGGAATAAGTTAAGCAACTTACTAATTAGTTATATAACACCTCCCTCTATAAGGAGATATAGGGTACTACCTAACCTAGCTAGTCTTTAGCTTCTATATTAAACACTATAGTGTATACTATAAAAGCTAAAAGATAATCTAAAAAGATGCTAAATATCTCTATACTTAGTAATAGTGCTAATCCTACTTTTAGATAATAGCAAGCATCTATTTAGGATAGGCTAGAGATTAACGCTAATTACTACCCCTCTTCTAGAGCTTAGATAGCGTTAGTCTAGGGATACTACTTAGGACTAGCAAGAGAATACTTAGAGCCACGTTACCTATCTAATTCCCTAAGTCTTTAGTTCTAAAAAGCTAAGGAAATAATTACCCTTCTTTAAACTTACTTTATTACTAGAAATAAGATAGCTAAGAGTTAGACTATATTTAACTGCCTATATATAACTAATATAAAGATATTCCCTACTTTTAAGTTATAATTCTAGAGTCTTGCTATTAGAGGAGAAGTACCCTAATTAGAGTAGTATTACTACCTCTAGATAAAGATTACACCTTCCCTAAGGATACTAAACCTTGCTTTCTAACAAAATTAGCACAATAATTTTAAGACTATAGTAGATTATCTTACTACTTTTAATATAGAACGCTGCCTATACCCTACCTTATCTACTTCTACTTAGACTACTCTATTATCTAGAAAAGGACTAACCCCCTTCTAACACTCTAGAAACTAGTCCTATTTAGACGCTAATTAGAAACCCTATAATAGACCTTTAATAGCTAAACCTTATATACCCTACTTGTAATAATAAGGCACTACCCCTTAAAATAATTAACCCCTATCTGCTACGCTAGCCACTCCTAGTGCTACTATAACAGGAACCTGCTATAATTGTAGAAAGCCTAGGCACTTCTCTAGTAACTACCCTAAACCCCCTAGGATTCAGGCTATAGATATAGAATAGGTTATTAAGAATTCTAAGGAAGAAGAAACTGCTAAAATAACTAATTTAGATAGCTATTAGATAGGAAATAATAACGCCTAGGAGGATTCTCCTTCCTAGGCCTAACTTAATATAACCTGTTAAACGTTTCCTTAACTAAATTATTTATTAGTTCCTATTTACTTGCACATATAACCCTATACCTTAATAGATCTAGTGTTTGCCTAAACGCTTTAGTAGATACTAGGGCCTAAGGTTATTTATTTCTTAATTTAAAAATTACTTATAATATCTCTTCTATACTTAGGGTACCTATCTAAAAGCTACTATATAAGCTTACTATTAAAGGGTTCTAAGATTAGATTTCCTCCCTAGTTACCTACTATATTTAGCTTTATATAATAGTTAGTAGCTAAAAGGTTTATAACTGCCCCTTTATAATCTTAGACTTAGGTTCTTAGGATTATATTATTAGATAACACTAGCTAAAATAGTTCTAAATCCTAATTAATATAGATAAATCTTAACTAATCTAGCTAGAGAAATATCCTCTAACCTACGACCCTGCACCTCTAATTCTAGTATAACTCTACTAGCAAGTGCTATCTACTCTAGTTACCTATAATATCTTGCAAAGAGACGCCTGTTAGGATTAAGAGGAGAACTAGAACTAAAATAGTCCTAGTTTAATTAACAGGATACGTAGTATACTTAAAATTCTAGCTACTTATAAGGCTGCTACTAAACCTATTACGCTACCTA